AAATATTCATAAATAAATAATCTGTTCAAAGCTTTAATGGTATAACTATCATATATATATATTTCCATAAATAATAAACTTTTTAACTAAAATAATTATTTTAAAACCTCTGATTACCCAATAAATAAAACTGAATCGATTAAAATCTCAATAATATGTCAAAGTACCCAAATAAATTATTTAACTTAATTTTAATTGGTAAAAACGTAATATAAATCATATATAACCGATTTTTCAACTAGAAAAATCCATTTAAGCACTAAAAACCAACAAATGGACAAATCTAACCGATTAAAGTTAACAACTCATTTACCTCTAAATTTCCATTATCATCTTTTACCAAAACTCTATATTTATATCATATATAAGTATCAAATTTTCTCTAAACACTATAGTAATACTGTTATTAGGAAGCCTAAAATATATAGAAAATATTCATGAAGAAAGTTTGATGAAAAGAAGTAATGTTATGTACCTAAATTATCTTTAAAGGTTTCCTTCTCTCTCACAACGATTGCTCATCGGCTTCTTGCTCTCTCCCACACTATTTCTCTCTTTCTTCCTTGCTCTCTCTTTCTTTCCCGCACCCTTGTCTCCTGGCTCTACTCTCTCTCTTTTATCTCCCATCTTTCAATTACCCAGCACAAATTTTCTTTTTGCATTTAGTTCTCCTTCTCCAAAGTCTTCATTCCTCCTCCTAAAGTCTTCTTTTTGATCCAAATGCTTCCATTTTTTCCACGCCTCAATTTTTTCCATGCATCAACTTTCCACGAGTCAATTTTCCATGCCTTAACTTTCCACTGAAGCCGGTGGAAAACAGCTACTTCTTCTCTCTTTTTATTTTTAAATATTATTATTTTATTATAAAATATTATTTTATTATTTATTTGTTTACTAAATCCTAAAATAAAATTTAGGATATCACAATTTTTACGGGTGTATATTTTTGTTGATTTTTTTTTATCCTTTGCAGTTTTGATAGGCAATATTTCAATAGTTTAATTATATACATTATTCGATGTTATAATAATGTTTTTACATGATATTAAATTTTGACCGTTTAAAATTAATCTAGCAATGAATATAAGAAGTGAAGAGGTTCTCTTTTGAGCAACCTTGGATGTCATTTAGTGGAACGACAAAAGGAATCTTATTTATTCATACGAATTTATTAATATCACTCGAGTTTGTTTGAGGATTATAAGTGAATTTTATAATTTTTTCTATACAATTTTACATTTGTTATTATCCTACTTCCCCCCAGTTAGAATAAAGGATATGATGAATTTGTAACCACTCAAATTTCACCAAAATATTTTCCTTTCTATCTTTTTCTCCTATTTTTACTAGTGACATTTTTGTTATCAATGCATGCGTAAATGGTTACTCATTAGTATTTTAAAATAGGTAACGCTCATTTAATTCTCTAACTCCATATAAGATTGAAGTTTGATCCTTAATTTTTAAAAATATTTTTTTTCAGTTATCTAACCCTAACTTCATTAGTCACAAATGTTGATTTTTGTGACAAATATTATTATTTTGAAAATTATAATTAATATGATAATTTTTTAGAACATTTTGTTGACGTTTCAAATTTCAGTATCTGAATATTTTTTGTTAAGTGCATTAGGGTTAAAAAAACTGAAAAGATAGTTTATAGAATTAAGAGATCAAAATGAAATCTCATGTAAAATAAAAGAGTAAAAGGACACTTTTAGTTTTCAAATATGTAGATTAGTCCTATTGTTTGTGTGACAATCAATATTTTGAAATGATTTTAATTTTGATTGTTGATTTATCTTTCTCAAGTCAGAACCTCATTTTATTGATGTTTAAAATCTTTTTATATATTATTGAAACAAATAAACAAAATGTTCTGTTAAAAATAGCGACTACATGCAATAAATTAAAACATTGCATTCTAACTAATTATAAAACTTGCTGACTAATTAATCAAACTCTTTATTCTAATTAATAACTTTTACGGATGATAATTTTAAATTTTTGCAAAAAATACCTAATTTTAACTAATTTTATTAATTTATATAAAGTTGCTATTACATGTTTATAATAAGTATCCGGGATTAATACACACAAATATAACATTTAAAAGGCAAATTAAGGTAAACTCCAGAAACGATGGACTTAGTCAGCACCTGATCTCCCAACCACAAGGTTACATGGAGATAGAGACATTTACGATATATTACCTCTGGTCCTTAATACTACCTCTGGTCTTAAAAACCTCATTTGTAGTCTGCAAATGAGATCTTATAGTTAAGATCAAAGGTAGTATAAGACTTAATTGATTAAATGAGGACCCAGAGATAATATCTTATAAATAGAAACAACACAACACAAGCCTCATCACCCAAATCTCAAACACTTTCACTAGTACTCTTAGTTCTTACCATTGTCACAATGAGGCTCTTCTCCTTTCTCTTCTTTCTTCTTACCCTAAGCCTAATGTCTCATCAGGGCACTGAAGCCCAATCAAACTTCTTAAAATTCTTCTGTGGTAACGGGACTACTGATGATAGCAACAGTACCTTTCAGACCAATCTCAAAAACCTTTTGATGAATATCTCCAACACGCAAATTGACTATGGCTTCTACAACTTCTCCTTCGGCAATAACTCCGACAAGGTTAACGCCATCGCACTCTGCCGAGGAGATGTTAAGGAAGCAGATTGTCGTAGTTGTCTCACAGATTCAAGGGTTCTTCTTCTCCAAGTGTGCCCTAACGTGAAGGAGGCGATCGGGTGGTACGATAACTGCTTCCTGCGATACTCCAACCGAACCATATTCGGTCTCATGGAAACATCGCCATATTTCTATTTGTGGAACACACAGGATGCGTTGGAGAAAGACCAGTTCAAGAGTGTGGTGACGAAGATGATGAATCTTCTAAGAGACAGGGCTTCTTCCGGCAACTCTATTCGGAAGTTCGCGGCGGCGAATGCGACAGGTCCAAGCAATCAGACGATATATGGTCTGGTGCAGTGCACGCCAGACTTGTCACAGAACATTTGCAGAGCTTGCTTGAATGGAGCAATCTCAGAAATTCCAAAATGTTGCAATGGAAATAGAGGTGGCAGAGTGGTACGACCTAGTTGCAACATAAGATATGAGACTTACAGCTTCTTTGATCTTGCGGCTGCACAACCATTCATATCATTACAGTCACCGCCGTCTCCTCTTCTGCCACCTGCTCTACCAACGACACCCAAGAAAGGTATCAATATTTGCATTCAGTTCACACACACACACACGAGGTAAAAGATTATCAGAGTCAATCTCTATCTACTTATTGCGTATCCCTCTAGAATTTGCTTGAATGAGGCAATCTCCGATTTACATGTTATACTTATGAGCACAAAATCTTGTTTTTTTGGTACAGGAAAGAGAAACACAACAGGAATTGTTGTTGCCATAGTTGTGCCAACTGTTGCGTTCATCGCACTAGTCATCTTCATCGTTATTATTAAGGCCAGAAGGCTAAAGAAGACTATCCGAAGTAAGTCAATGTATTATAAATTATGAAAAATTAATCTTTTAACCCCTCTAATTTTAGCTCGATTGCAACTCAGTTTCTATATATTATTAAGTCACTTTCTAAAGTTTTGACTCGGCTGCAACTCAATTCCTAAGTAGCAACCATTGCCCTAAACTTCAAGAAATATCAATTTTATTTTTTTAAAATATGGAGACTAATTTTTTTTATTAAATGGTTAAATTATAGAGATTGAGTTATAACTTAGTCAAAATTATAAGGACTGTGTTACAACTGACATTGATTTATAATTGAGTTGAAACATTGATTGATTACACGTATAATCAATCAATCTCAATTCAATATAAAATGATAAAGTATAGAGAAGTTCAATATTCAATGAAAGCATACAAAACAAGGAGTCCTGGAAAATCATGTCCAACATTATTTTAGTTGAAAAATATTTTCTTATGTCGCTTTAACCCTCTTGCGTACATGCACTTGCGCTGCCATGCGTAACGTAGCCGGAGAAGATAAAGATGAAATCATGACCGTTGATTCATTGCAAATGGACTTTGAAACCATCAGAGCGGCAACGAATGATTTTTCTGATGCAAATAAGCTTGGACAGGGTGGATTTGGACCTGTTTACTTGGTAAGAAATTAAATTATACAGTATTAAATTAAATATTATTCAAACGGAATATTCCAGTTCCTGTATTTTATATTATATCAAAACTCACGTATTTGATTTTTTTAAAATACACAATTTCAGGGTAGGCTATATAATGGACAAGAGATAGCTGTAAAAAGGTTGAGTAGAGATTCTGGGCAAGGTGAGATGGAGTTTAAGAATGAAGCGTTGCTGGTGGCCAAGCTACAACATCGGAATTTAGTGAGGTCACTTGGTTTTTGTCTCGAAAAAGAAGAAAAGCTCCTTATTTACGAGTTTGTTCCCAACAAAAGCCTTGATTGCTTCATCTTTGGTAAGTCAATATTAATGTTTGATTCTGTGATGTCATCTACGTGTATATTTAAGCTTTTCTTCTGATTTCAGATTACCCTATTGCCAAGTTTCTTTGACTTCTTTTAGACAAGTCGAATTCAAAGGATCACTAGATATGTACAAGTCACCTTGTAACGTCTGTATTTATGTAGATTCCGTCAAAAGGGTGAAATTGAATTGGGAAAAGCGCTACAAAATTATAGAAGGCATTGCCAAAGGCCTTGCATACCTTCATCATGATTCTCGAATACGAATTGTTCATCGTGATCTCAAAGCAAGCAACGTGCTCTTAGATGAAGAGATGAATGCTAAAATATCAGACTTTGGCATGGCAAGATTATTTGTGATAGATCAAACTCAAGCCAAGACAAGCACAGTTGTTGGGACCTAGTAAGTTTATTGATTTATGAGATTAATGTTATAACACTGGAGACATAACTTGACCTTTTTCCCCCCTGCTAGCGGAGATATCACTTGACTAACCAAATTTAAATATACTCATTATTCTTATAAAATATCTGACAGTGGATACATGGCACCGGAATACGTGATGAATGGAACCTTTTCAACTAAATCAGACGTCTTTAGTTTTGGAGTATTGGTTTTAGAAATTATAAGTGGCCAGAAAAAAGGTCAATTTCAGAATGGAGAAAATGAGGAGCACGTAGTAAGCGCGGTAAGTACATGCCCTTTATCCATCCAAATCTAATCTTAGTACTAAAGTCAAAACTAGCCATGAATTTCTCAATAGTGTTTAAGTGAAACATACATTCAGAAAAAGAAAAAACATAAAATTGATGTGGTAGTAGCTAATTATTGAACAAGCTGTTTCAGGTTTGGAAAAACTGGACAAAAGGGACATTGGCAAATATTGTGGATCCAACGTTGATGGAGGATGCTGGGTCAAGAAATGAAATAATGAGATGCATCCACATAGGGTTACTGTGTGTTCAAGAAAATGCCGAACACAGGCCAACAATGGCTTCCATTGTTCCAATGCTTAGTACTCATTCAATCACCCTTCCTGTTCCTTCAGAACCTTCATTTTATATCTGGAGAAGCTTACCAGGAATCAAATCACTATCTTCTGGAGATCAATCCGCCGACGGATCAATAAATCAGCTTTCAGTGTCAGAGCAGTATCCTCGGTAGCTATAATATGTTGTAGGAAAAATTACTATGTTGTCCCAAAGAGAAAAAAATATAATTATGATATATGTATGTGTGTGTATTTTGATTTCCTGTGTAACACTACTATGAGTAAAAACATATATGCAGTGGTTTTATATAATTATGCACCTCAATATACTCATGATTAGCTTTTGTGAATTATGATATGGTTTGTGTGTATGTGTATCGGATAATACATACAACTAACGAACAATAGAGTTTTATTTTATTCATGTAATTGATAAATACCGAAAGTAAAGGGGATCCCTTATTTTGAATTAAGCCAAAATAAAAGGATAAATTAAAATATGAGGTAAAAATAACAAAATGAATAACATTCTAAAATAAGAAGTGAAAGGTTGGGGGTGATGATTTCCTTAGCATTTCATAAAAACTATAATTAGCTTCCCTTTAATTTATTTGTATAATGCAATTATTGCTAAATTAACTCAAGACTCTAATTTTTTTTGGGCCGAACTCAAGGCTCTAATTACTTGTTAATACCTTTTCAATCATTTATAGTTAAATAAATTAAAGAGTGTTTATACAAATAAGTTAGAACATGTGAATTAGAGTTTTATATATTAAGTAGCTTCTTCTGAAATGTTAAGAGAAAAATTGCATTGACAAACCTTTCACTACTTATAATTGAGTCTAGAACTTGATTTCTATTCCCCCCCCCCCAAAATATAGCTTAGCATTTGGTAATATTTTATCAGCATTCAAAGGCTTAATGTTATTATTTTTTTGTTAATAGTTTTGAGGTTAAAGGACTAAAAGTATACTTTTAAAAGTTAAGGGATCAAACTGAAACCTTACGTAAAGTTAAAAGACTAAATATATATTTTAACCAATAATAATGCCAGCATCCTGGAAAGAAATGTCAAGAAGGTGATAATCTGGAAATCAGCAATTATCTTCAAAGGTAGATGAGACTCTCTTTCCTCTCCTTTCATGTCAATTTCCAAACAAAATTGACAGCTAATTAAATATAAATGGAGAAATCTCGTGCGTCTTAAAAAAGATAATCAGAAATATAATTATAAAAAAAAATTTTAACAATTGAATGACAAATTCTGGGATAAAAATAGGAAAAATTACAATTAGGTTCCATCCAAGAAAATTAAATATAAAAAGGTCTCTTAAAATTAAGAAATTATTCTGAAGACCTTATTGTAATAAATTTTATTTGTTCAGTTACCAAATTACCTTTTTTTCCCCTAAAGTTTGCATTGACAACTGAAAGAGCAGTGATTGACAACTTAGGGTGCAAGGATTGACAACTATTGAGGAAGGTATTGACAATTCATGTATTAGATTTTGTGATGTGTTGAAAAAATGTATTGTCAATACTTGCGGTGATAATTGTTAATTCATACATTTTAAGTTGTTAACGACTGCTTTTTCAGTTGTCAATACAAATTTAAAAAAAAAGAAAGATAATTTGGTAATTAAACAAATAAAATTTATTGCAAAAAAGTTTCTTGGGACTTTAAGATAATTTCATGATTTAAAGAGACTTGTTTGTATTTAATTCCCTTGGGTGGAGTCTAAATGTAATTTTTCCTAAAAAATAAAGACAAGATTCAAACTATTCTCTTATATTTGAAATTTTTAATAGGAAATTTTTAATAGGACAATACTTACATTAAGTATTTTTCTTATGTCCATTATGTGAAGTTTTTCAATCAAATTTAGCCATGTCTACTTTTTTAAAAATATTATCATTAAACTATTTTTTTACCAGCATTTTCATTAAACTATTAAACCCATATGAAAAAATATATACGATACAGATTATGTCCATTAAAAAACTTGATATAATGGATATAACATAAAGAATTTGATGTAATTATTTTCTTTTTTTATAATGATATATAATATGTATGTATATTTTCTTCTATCATCTCACAGTGATTCTTCCAATATATGAAAATACATGTTGATGAGATGAGACAGCTCCCTTAGACGTAGGACGCAAGGCATAATGGTTTTTCCATCTAAGAAAATTGACTTCACAAATCAAAACGGAAACATTGTGCCTCCGCATACCTGTAAGGCTGTAATGGGTCCACCAAGCTTAATTTCTTCCCATTAAATTAATGTAGTCTTTTTACCCTACTAATGCTGGGACAATGATATATGAAGACCTGAGGAATGAATTGATATAAGCAAGGTAGCGTAATTTTTCATCTCAGAGAGATTCTTCCAATATGAAAATACATGGTGATGAGATGAGACAGCTCCCTTAGACGTAGGACGCAAGGCATAATGGTTTTTCCATCTAAGAAAATTGACTTCACAAATCAAAACGGAAACATTGTGCCTCCGCATACCTGTAATGGGTCCACCAAGCTTAATTTCTTCCCATTAAATTAATGTAGTCTTTTTACCCTACTAATGCTGGGACAATGATATATGAAGACCTGAGGAATGAATTGATATAAGCAAGGTAGCGTAATTTTTCATCTCAGAGAGATTCTTCCGATATGAAAATACATGTTGATGAGATGAGACAGCTCCCTTAGACGTAGGACGCAAGGCATAATGGTTTTTCCATCTAAGAAAATTGACATCACAAATCAAAACGGAAACACTGTACCTTCACATACCCCTAATTGGTCCACCAAACTAAATTTCTTCCCATGAAATTAATGTAGTCCTTTTACCTTACTAATGTTGGAAAAATGCATGATATGTAGACAGGGGATGAATTAATATAAAGCGCAATTTTTCAGATGATAATGAAAGCAATAAGGCAATTAGTCAACGAAATTGTTGTGATTGTTATCATTTTTTCTTGAAGTGTTTGGTATTTACTATTTAGTATGATAGAATGAGTTGTTACTAAATTTTTTATATTGGCAGTAATACTCGAACTTATTTACTCCATCCCGTCATTATGGCAAACTTCAAATAATGTATAACCAAAAAATTGCTAAAATTAGTTAAAAACAATAAATAAGTAAGAAATAAACTTTTATTTTCAAACATAGCCTTATAATAAATAAGAAAAATGATGAGAGAGAATATATAGAGATAATGAGAGAAAGTATGACAAATGAGAGATAATAAATAATTAAGTGTAAAACTAAAAAAAAATACATTCCATGTTGAGATAAACCCAAATTGAAATTTATAAAATAGGCTAAATTTTTTTTCAAACTCAGCTTATAAATAGGAGCATACAGAGTATAAAATATTAGTTCATTATAGCTACATTCATTTATTTTCAAGGCATAGTTAACGAGCTATTATTATTATTGTTGTTGTTATTACTATTATTTCTGTTTTGATGAAATGTGTTGGAAGTGATTAACTTATAAATAAAGCAAGAGAAGTTAATTATTTATATTATAAAAGAATAAACTTGAAATGATTGAATTAAGGTCGCTATAAGTAATTTAATTAATTTGTCGAACTCCCCAACCACTCCCTCATTTTTTTTCTTGCACCCACTGAAGTGTTGAAAATGTAATCCTTTTAGAGATTGTATATGATTTGAACTGATGGAGTATATAAGTGGGAAGAGCCAAGACATGAAAAAGAATTCTAGCGGCACCCTTTCTGTATTAAGCCACAGAGACATGGTCTCTGTACGGCGAAAACAAGACCCCACACAACCTTTGCAATAAGTCAAGGCTCAGTGAAAAGTGACAAGTCCATCCAATTAGGTAATTTGGACTTAGTCATCCCATTAATTAATAATTGGTGACCTCTTTTCTTCCGCCCATTAATTAATAATTAAACCACCCAATCGGGAACTGTATAGTCTGTACGAGAAGACTCAAATGTCAAGTCACTAAACCTAATCACGAATTATTGATTGAGTTTTAATCTTATGTTGTATAATGACACAAAAAAAAAATTGTACTATGAGTTTTTCGTTTCCCTTATATACAAAGGCCAGCCACCACGCACTCTCTTTGTGCGTCTCTTTCAATTGTAGTGAAGAAGAGGCTGAAAAAACGCAAGGCTATTGAATTTATTAATTACCCCCAGTGCTTGCTATCTTTGCGTCTCTCTTTCAATAGTGAAGAAGACTTTAAAAGTGCGTAAACATCATATTGTGCCGTATTTCTAACAGTTAGGCATCTATTTTTTCCTACCCTTTTATTCTTATAGACTAATGTGGAAGTAACGAATTATTTAATTACCCTAAAGGAATCTAAACTCAAAATGACTAGTAAAAGTCGCATTAATTAAGTTTGGAACTTTGTCATTATCCCCACCCGCACTTTAGTTTACTTCTGACCAACAAGTCATCATTTTGCTAAATGACAATCCTCAACATCATATCCCAGTACCCGTTTTTTTGAATGGAAAGGAAAATATCATTCAAAGAAACGAAGCAAGGACAGTCAACGGTACAAGATTAAAGGCCGAAAAAAAAAAAAGAACAGTAAGCAATACACACGAGACATAGCAAAACAAATCATAAGCAAAATTAAGTTTACATATCAATTGAAATAATAAGATTAATGGTTTTCAGAGTATGATTAACTATTCCGTCAGTAGGTGCATAGAAATCATCATCATCTTAAAACCTAACCCAAGTTGCCCAGTCTGACTAGTGAGTCTGATCAAATTTTGGACAGACACGGTCTCTGTACGGCGAAAACAAGACCACATACAACCTTCGCAATAAGTCAAAGCTCAGTGAAAAGTGACAAGTCCATCCAAGTAGGTAATTGGGACTTAGTCATCCCATTGATTAATAATTGGTGACTTCTTTTCTATGAGATTTTCGTTTCCCCTATATGCAAAGGTTGGCCAAGAAGCACTATCTTTGTGCGTCTCTTTCAATAGTGAAGAAGACTTTAAAAGTGCGTAAACATCATATTGTGCCGTATTTCTCAGTGAGGCATCTATTTTTTCCTATCCTTTTATTCTTATAGACTAATGTGGAAGTAACGAATTATTTAATTACCCGAAAGGAATCTAAACTCAAAATGACTAGTAAAAGTCGCATTAATTAAGTTTGGAACTTTATCATTATCCCTAACCACACTTTAGTTTACTTCTGTCCAACAAGTCATCATTTTGCTAAATGACAATTCTCAAACATCATATCCCACTGCCCGTTTTTTTTTTTAATGGAAAGGAAAATATCATTCAAAGAAACGAAGCAAGGACAGTCAACTGTACTAGATTAAAGGCAAAAAAAAAAAAAAAGAAGAAGAAGAAGAAGAGAACAATAAGCAATACACACGAGACATGGCAAAACAAATCATAAGCAAAATTAAGTTTACATATCAATTGAAATAATAAGATTAATGGTTTTCAGAGTATGATTAACTATCGCTTCAGTAGGTGCATAGAAAATACGCACAATCATCATCATATTAACCCAGGTTGCTTAGTCTGACTAGTGAACTAATAAACTAGTTTTTTTGACCAACCTACCCAAATTTTGGATAGATCGATCAGCTTAGATTTTATGTCTTTTATTAGGCTTGAAATGGCATTTGTTGGATCATGCATAATTTATACACGGATATTCTATATACTTATGGATTAATGTTCTTGATATGAATATTATTTTAATTATGATTGGTCTAATTCTGGTAAATCATCATAATTTAAATTACTGTCTTCATCAGTTTATTAATCGATTTTGTTTTTAGTACCTTGACCTTAACAATCACCATGGCTAAGCCTAGTTCCTTTGTTTTACTTTATTTTTCCTCACCCTAATTTCTTATCACGGCACCAAGACCAACAAGACTTCCCAAAAATCTTCTGTCGCTACGGCTCCCTATAGGACAGAGTCCTCAACGCCCAAACGCCGTGGTTTTATGTAGGAGAGAGGCAATTAAATGATTTTTCTCCATGGCCTGGACGGTTCGAACCTCTCCTATTTTCTTCTCATCTTCTTCCCTTCTCTTTCATTGACTTAATATTTTAACAGTTCACATTTAATTTTGTTAAAACTATTATTAAAATATAAAAAATAAATTATAAAAATAAATAAATAATAAATTAAAAACTATATTAAAATTTAATTCTAATGGTTTTTCAATGCACTAAATGTTTTTAAATTTTTTTATAAATGGTTTATAAAAAATTAAAATCTAAACTATTAAAATATTAATCCAATGAAAGAGGAGGAAAGAGGATATATATATACACACAGCTACAAGGCTAGCAAATTGGGTAATGTAGCAGGGTGAGTATAGGGCTATTCATGATTGTGACTAAAGGTTTTTTTTTAAAAAAATAAATCAATGCCATCTTTGTTTCAACAAGAATTTAAACGTCCAGAAAAATCACTATAGCCTACTATTTCTAATTTAGTGGGGGAGTCTTCATTTTCATATCTCTTTCTCGTAACGCTGTGTGATAAATTATTTACCCTGAAAAATCTAGACTCAAGAGATGACTACAAGTCGTTCTAAGTAAAGTTTGGGCATTGTCACTCTCAATTTCCAAATTACACTTGGTACCATCTTCTAACCTAAATACAAAGAAAAGAAAAGATTAAAGACCTCAGTTAGACAATTCTCAAACCTACCTTTACTACGCACAAAGAAAACGCGTACAATAACCATGCCTCGGATTTCCTTTCTCTTCTTTCTCCTTTACCTAACAAGCCTAATTTCTCATCATGGCACTATCGCCCAGCAAGACTTCTTAAAGTATGTCTGTGGTGAAGGCCCCGCTAACAGCAATAGTTCCTTCCGATCCAACCTCAGAAACCTTTTACTAAACATGTCTTTCAACACACAAATCGACTATGGTTTCTACAACTTCTCCTCCGGCAACAACGCTAACAAAGTTTATGTCATCGGACTATGCCGAGGAGACATTACTGTACAAGATTGCCGCAGTTGCATCCAAGATTCGAGGGTGATTATTCTCCAAGTATGTTCACCTAATGCGAGGGAAGCGATCGGGTGGTACGACATCTGCTTTCTACGATACTCAAATCGATCGATATTTGGTGTGATGGAAACATCGCCGGGTTACAATTCGTCAGACAGCTCCGACGCTTTGGAGAAAGACGAGTTCAAGAATGTGCTGATGCAGATGATGAGTTATCTGAGAGAAAGAGCTGCTTCCGGAGACTCGCTCCGGAAGTTTGCGGTGGCGAATGCTAGTTGTCCGGGCAATCAAACCATGTACGGTCTTGCACAGTGCACGCCCAACTTGTCGAACAAGGATTGTGACATTTGCCTGAGTGGGGCAATCTCTGATATTTCTAAATGTTGCGACGGAAAGAGAGGTGGTCGGGTGGTCCGACCCAGTTGCTACATTAGATTTGGACCCGATAGCTTCTTTGACGCTTCTGCATACAATAATACACAATCATTTGTGCAATCACCGTTGCCTCATCTTGCCTCCAAACAAGGTAAATTTATATGATCAGGGCTTTTTTTTTAAAAAAATTAAACTAGATCAAGAAAATATAATTCTAAAACTGAAAATTACTGCCTAGGATCTGTGTTTGGATTAGTTGTGGAGAAATAATTTTGGGCTGTATATACTCCCTCCAGTCTATAATATAAAAAGTTGGTTACGTTTTCTCACAAAACAAAAAAGTTAGGAAAGTCTTTAAATATGTTTTAAATTGATAAAAGTTATTTATTTTATCTTTATTAAAGAAAGTGATTGGAAAATTCTCCCCTCTTTCTCTTGCATTTAAAACTCTCCCCTCTATGTAATAAGAGGTAAAAGTGAAAAACTATTATTAATTACTTTGTCAACATCTTATATTTTGGATTAAAATTTTCTTCTAGAAGACTTCTTATATTATGAACAAGAAAAAGTGTATCAGAAGAATTTTGTCTCAATTAATTAAAGAGGGTTGAGTTTAGCAGACAAGGTTAATCTCTTATAATATAGTGAATCAATATTAGAATTCCCATTTTAAAAAAAGTTCACAACTAATACTAAATAGTATCTCAAACAGGTTTCCAACGAGAATGAGAATATGCCTGTGCAGTGGCGTTTGTTACCCGTCATAATTCACGGTTGTTACCCTTATAATTCACGGGGACTTGCATTTCAAAATATCTTAACCCTTTTAAAAGGCATATATCAAGGCTATTTCTTTTTTTCTTTTATTTCCTTTTGGAAAATTTATTGAATTTAACTTATCAGGATCAACTTGTCAAAAATATACGTGCAAATTTTGCTTTGTGCAGGAAAGAGAAACAAGTCATCAAGGATTGTTATTGCCGTGGTTGTTGCCTTCACCGCAGGACTCACCTTACTCATCTTCATCGTTGTAATATATTTAAAACCAATGAGGACACCCAATAAAATGGAAAGTAAGTCAACGTCTTATGTTTATAATATTATAACATGGAACATATGAAAATGTTTCTATACAAGTGTGCATCGTCTTAACTAAATACACGGTTGCCAAAAATTTGATTAAATTATATAGATTAATTATTTATATTTTATTGAGAAGTCAAATCACCAATTTTTTTTATTAATGCTATTTTTGTCAAAAATTTAAATTTAGATTAAAATATATACTTTGAAAGTAAATAAACATGTATGTATATCCTGCAGAAATAATTCAAAATAGATAATTTATTTTTTTATATTGACTTTTAAGATTGAATGATAATTATTGTCCAATTTCAAGGTCGAAAAATTATTATTCATTTTTCAAATTAGTTATTAGAGGAACTTATTTTCATATGTAGTTGATATATAGTTATTAATAATAGATCATAACTCCCTGTACTATACTACCATCCATGCTTATATAGCTGAAGCTAAGGATGCAGCCGACTCATTGCAAATGGACTTTGAAACCATCAGAATGGCAACAAATGATTTTGCTGATGCAAATAAGCTTGGACAAGGTGGATTTGGAGCCGTTTACTTGGTAAGATACTAGTTGAAGATACCATTTCGATATTAAATATAAGACCTATTTTATAATGTAAATTATACTATAAAATAGGTTTTATATTTAGAGCCAAAGGAGTATATGACTAAATTGTTTTATAAGAAATAACAATAAATTTAGGTTCCTCCCATGCATTGCGTCACTCAAACTCAATGGTCTAGTTTTGTGTGTGCGCTTTTTTCTTTTGATATATAATTCCAGGGTAGGTTGTATAATGGACAAGAGATTGCTGTAAAAAGGTTGAGCAGGAATTCTGGCCAAGGTGATGTGGAGTTTAAGAATGAAGTGGTGCTAATGGCCAGGCTACAACATCGGAATTTAGTCAAGCTAGTTGGTTTTTGTCTCAAGAAAGAAGAAAGGCTTCTTGTTTATGAGTTCCTTCCTAACAAAAGCCTTGATTACTTTATTTTTGGTATGTTAGCTAATGTTAATCTTCCATGTCTTCCTTTGTTTTAATTTCTAGATCATAATAAACGATATATATTTGGAGAGGTTAAATTTCTAAAATATTAGTATCATGTTAAACTTCAATAGATTATTACTTTAAATCATGGAATGTGTTGTCCATGACTTCATGCAGATCCAATCAAGAGAGCATGTTTAAATTGGCAAAAGCGTGTCAAAATTATAGAAGGCATTTCTCGAGGTCTTCTTTATCTCCATCAAGATTCTCGAGTACGGATCATTCACCGTGATTTAAAGCCAAACAACATACTTTTAGATGAAGACATGAATGCTAAGATCTCAGATTTTGGTATGGCAAGGTTATTTGCAGTCGATCAAACTCAAAGCAACACAAGTACAATTGTTGGGACTTAGTAAGTTTATATATTCTAGATTATATACTATTGCTAGAGCTATTATTAGATTAATTAAGTTTAAATACTAATCATCTTTTCATACGCACATGTAGTGGATACATGGCACCAGAATATGTAAAACATGGAATCTTTTCAACAAAGTCAGATGTTTTTAGTTTCGGAGTATTGGTTTTAGAAATTATAAGTGGTCAAAAGAATGGTGAATTCCACATTGGGGAGAACATAGAGCATATAGGAACTGCTGTAAGTATTTCCCTTTATCAGTACTTGAATCAGCTTTGAAAAATCATTCTTCATTGTTTTTTAGGTTCTGCAACTAAACAAAGTATTCTTACAGGCTTGGAAAAGTTGGAGTAAAGGAATATTGTCAAATATTGCAGATCCAACATTATTGATTGAAGAAGAAGGCTCTTCAAGAAGTGTAATGATGAGATGCATCCAAATATGTTTACTGTGTCTTCAAGAAAACGCAGCTCATAGGCCATCAATGGCTTCCATTGTTACGTTGCTAAGTAGCTCCTCCTGTACCATCCCAGTTCCTTCAGAACCATTCTTTTATAATTGGACAAGCATGCCAAGTATTAAGATTATTCCATCGTCATCATTTGGAGATCAATCTGTTGAAGAATCGAGAAATGAACTTACTTTTACAGAGCAATTTCCTCGCTAGATCATCATTTTCAAGCATATGTAGGGGCCAAGGGACTTGAGAAATTTGTTATACTACTCATAAATATACACCTAGCTTTTTAAAGCTTTGTGTTATTAGGAGATAAATTAGTTGTAAATGGTTTCAAAATGCATGTGGAAATCTTGAGTACGCCACTTAAAGCAAGATTATTGTACAAAATATTGTAGTGACAACTAATAAAAAAATTGATGAAAATTTTCTGTTCAAAAGTTTTATTGGTTAGAGGGACCCAACGAAGACTTTCATTGATATTTTTTTCCCAAAAAAAGGGGTCAAAGCTCTGTATGGAGATACTGCTACAAGGCTCTAAATGAACCATGAAGCCCCGCACTAGTTTCCCCGTATGATCGCGACATATCCCTTCACAAGCCGCTTTAGTCATAGCAGCACTATAGGCTCCATCCATGTTAATCTTAATACAATTCTCCACCAGTGGGTGCCACTTCGTGTTAGGCTCACATAAACCTTATAGGGACTTCATTTCCAGGTAAGTCTAAGCTAAGCAAGCTAGGGCCGTCGCTTTAAAACAACTCGTCACCTCCATAGCTTTCTCAAAGACCTTTGTGTTTCTAGCTAACCAAATATTTCGACAAGCAACAGCAAAGCATATCCCCCATCTAACTCCATCTTGGTTCATAGTTTGAGAAATATTCCACTTAACCCAAGAAGTGACATTGGTGAAGTCGAAGAAATCTCGATGAAGAGAGATAGGGATGATTCCCTTCCATTTCTCACGAACCTGGGGGCATAAACACAACGCATGAAGAGTTCTTTCACTGCTATTCTCGCAGAAGGAGCACCTTTCATCTAATGTGAAACCTCTTAAGCATCGAACTGAGTTAGTCAAGAGGCATCCTCTAATAGAAGGCCATAGGAATGTCTTACATCATTGTGGTACCTTAAGTTTCCAAACCTTGCTCCATAACCCAGATTGGGAGTGATCTACCTGGTCATTTAGAATGTTGTACGCTGTCTGAAGAGTGAATTCTCCGTTGTTGGACTACCTTCATTTAGGCATATCAAGAGGAAGACCTTCACTGCCTATTCTGACTTTATCCACCTCTCTCAAGATAGACACAGGCAAAAGATCTTTGAAATGGTCCCAGCACCAGCCCCCCGACGGTGTCAACATATCATATACCAAAGTCTTTAAAGACAGCGGTTCATGATGAGTAAGCCACCTGTCATTCCAAAACTTAACCTACTAGCCATCGCCAATTATTGAAGCCCATCCATCAAGGCCCAAAAACAAACCCACAATGTCAAGTAGATAGAAATGCTCATTTGTTTCTGAGTCTTACCTTTACACGTGTTTCATTTGTAATGGACAATGTCCTCTATATATTGCGCTGGTTACTGTACACAAATACACAAGAAGCATTATACAATGTTCTGTCTGTGCCTCTGTCACTATGCTCTCCTCTTCTTGTTCCTTTATTCTATCTTGTTTCCAATATTATTCCATTATGGTATCAGAGCTGCGGCTGGCGTGATTGCCCAGCAACATGTCCAACTCACCTTCACCAAATATCTCTGCCACCACCACCCCACCCATCACTCCATCATCGTTATCGTCCGCTACCTCACCACCTATAACCGTCCCATCTGCCTTTCCTCACTATCTTACAACCAAACTCACTTTGGCTATTTCTGTGTGAAGGACGAGGAAACAGGAACACCTCTTCTTCAAGGACCGAGTCTTAGACGAATATACCATCTTTCTCCTCAAGCTCACCTTGGCGTTCGTACCACACCTCTTCACTGGCACCACCGACTTGGTCATCCTGCCTTCCGTGTTGTTCAACAAGTTCTCCACTCCAATAACCTCCCAGTTACCGGTTCTCATATTCAACATCATCAATGTCCTGCGTGTCGAACAGCAAAAAGTCATCGTCTTCCCTCTCCTCCCTCTCCTCACTGTTCCAAGTTTCCCTTTCAATTAGTCTTTTGTGATGTATAGGGTCCATCCCCTCTTGTGTCTGTAAATGGTTTCAGATATTATGCATCTTTTGTTGATGATTACTCTTGTTATATCTGGCTATGTCCCCTTCGAACAAAAAATGAATTGCGTACTGTATTTCATCAATTTCGATCCATGGTTGAAACGTTTTTTCAATCCAAAATCCGTTCCTTTCAATCGGATTGGGGGGTGAATTTCGCTCACTTCACAACGATCTCATTTCCCTTGGCATCATTCACAGAATCACTTGCCCTCACACACACACACACTCAGAATGGCACTGTTGAAAGGCGACATCGCACCATAGTTGAAACTGGTCTTGCTCTAATGCATCACGCTTCTGTTCCCCAAGCTTACTGGACCTTTGCATTCTCCACTTCCTCCTTTCTTCTTAATCGACTGCCAAGCCCGGTATTAAATAGCAAAAGTCCTTTTCAGGTCCTTTACAAACAGAAGCCTGATTACCGGTTCTTAAGAGTTTTTGGTGCAGGTTGCTGGCCCAATCTAAGACCATATGCACCTCATAAGCTGGCTCCCCGATCTCATCTATTTGTATTTCTTGGCTATGCTCCCAATCATTTGGGCTACCTTTGTTTACATCTTCCTACAGGCCGCATATACACGTCCAGAGATGTTATCTTTGATGAAAATATTTTTCCCTTTCATGGCCAGCCGGTCACTGGTGAGCCTACTTCCACGCTACACTCCAGTTCACCTCAATCTACTATTCCTCTTCCTCACCAGCCCAATCCATCTTCCGCTAGGCCCAGTACCACTAGTCTCATCCTCTCACCACACCAAGGCCCCACCCTTTCACCCAACCCTATTCCTCCTTCGTCTCCCCTACCTTCTTCGTCTCCTTCTATCTCCTCTGTACCATCGCCGTCCTCTACTGCCCCCTCAGCATTTACATCGCCACCTGCCCAGCCATCCCATCCTATGCTCATAAGAGCCAAAGCAAACATCTTCAAACCCAAGCCCCTCCCTCTTGACTTTATCTCTTATATACCTCCACGGGCTCACTGCGCCTCATTATCCGCACCTCCTGTACCTTCCTCTGTTTCTCAGGCCATCAAAATACCAGCATGGCGACAAGCTTTACAGGCCGAATATCAAGCTCTTCTCTCCACCCACACATGGGATCTAGTACCTTCCTCCCCTTCAATGAACATTGTTGGCTGCAAATGGGTATTTCGGACCAAACACTTTGCTGATGGCTCTCTTGACCGATTCAAAGCAAGACTCGTTGCTAAAGGGTTTCATCAACAGCTTGGCATTGATTTTGTTGACACTTTCTCTCCGGTTGTTAAACCGGTCACTGTTCGCCTCATCCTTGCTATTGCCGTCTCCAAGGGCTGGCCCATCCATCAAATTGACATTCAGAATGCCTTCCTTCATGGATTTCTCACCGAAGACGTCTATATGCAACAGCCTCCTGGCTTTGTTCATCCTACCTACCCAAACCATGTTTGCAAACTGCGCAAGGCCATATACGGACTCAAGCAAGCACCCCGTGCCTGGTATGCTTGGCTGAGTACCCGACTCACCGAACTCGGTTTCTCTTCCTCTCAATCTGATTCGTCCTTGTTTATATGCCATACCTCCAAATGCACCATTTATGTTCTAATCTATGTTGATGATATCATTATTACCGGTTCATCTATTTCTGTTGTTCAAGACCTGATTGCTGCACTGAGTCTCTCCTTCCCTGTTAAAGATCTTGGTCCACTACACTATTTTCTGGGCGTTGAGGTCATCTCAACCTCATCTAGTCTCATTCTTTCCCAGCGAAAATACATACTGGATCTACTTGAAAAAGCAAACATGTCTAAAGCTCGCCCTGTCTCCACTCCTATGGCATCTGGTTCCACTCTCACTGCCTCCCTTGGACCTGATTTTCTTGATCCCAGCCACTATCGAAGCATTGTTGGAAGTCTTCAATACCTCAGCTTTACCCGCCCCGATATTACCTTTGCTGTCAACCGTGTGTGTCAATATATGCATGATCCTAAAGAACACCACTGGACTGAAGTGAAACGCATTTTACGGTACCTTAGAGGAACATCTCACCTTACCCTTCATGTCAAGCCCTCCACTTCTATTACTCTCTCTGTTTTCTCTGATGCTGACTGGGGAGGCAACCCAGATGACTCTCGGTCCATAGGGGCCTTTGCCATCTACCTTGGCCCAAATCTCATTGCCTAGAGTTCAAAAAAACAACCAACCGTTGCTCGCTCAAGCACCGAAGCTGAATACAAGGCCATTGCCATAGGAACCAGTGAGGTTATCTGGCTACAACACCTCCTCCATGAACTTCACATCTATCTTCCTGAAGCCCCATTTCTGTATTGTGACAATTTGGGTGCTACTTATCTCGTTGCCAACCCTGTTTTTCACTCTAAGGCAAAACACATCTCTCTTGACTATCACTTTGTTCGTGAAAGACTTGCTGCTGGTCTTATTCATGTTTTACACATTTCTTCCAAAGATCAAATTGCAGATATTCTAACCAAGCCTTTGCCCGCCTCGCGCTTTGCTACTCTGCATTCGAGTCTCACTGTGCTTCCAGCCCAGCTTGACTCGCGGGGGAGTATTGAAGCCCATCCATCAAGGCCCAAAAACAAACCCACAATGTCAAGTAGATAGAAATGCTCATTTGTTTCTGAGTCTTACCTTTACACGTGTTTCATTTGTAATGGACAATGTCCTTTATATATTACGCTGGTTACTGTACACAAATACACAAGAAGCATTATACAATATTCGGTCTGTGCCTCCGTCACTATGCTCTCCTCTTCTTGTTCCTTTATTCTATCTTGTTTCCAATATTATTCCATTACCAATTTTCCAAGCCAAACCCTTCATACTGTTCTCCCAATTATTTCTGATCCTTTTCCAAGCTTGTGATTCACTTCTACGCTTTTCAATCGTAGGGACGACATCCTCGCTGTACTTTTCTCGCAAGAGCTTAACCCGAAGAGCATCTCTTCTTCTAATCATGCCTCATCCCAACATCATAAAAGCATTATTTTGCTTCGTAGCCATTTGAATTCCGAGGCCGCCCTCATCTTTGTGTTTACACATGCCATCCCATGCAACAAGG